CTGAATTTCTAAAAACAACTAAAACCAAGGAAACGATCAGATTGATCAATTTATTAATTTACAAGTTCTCATCTGACTTTATGTTGTTAAGCTACTTACTGTTAAATATCTATATAAACAAAAAGTATTAAGAGTAAGCAATGATACTGGGAAATCTTTTCTTTCTCTTTGAGTAAATGCAGGCACGTGTTAATTCAAACACATGATTTAAAGAAAAACAACCACTACACAGATTCAACCTGCAGGAGGATAAAAAAAAACAACACCAAACAACCAACAACAACAAAAAAACACTATTGTAAAAGGAGACTGCGGTTTACTTGGCTGTACTAAGAGTAAATAATAGATGGAGTCAGTCTTACCTCACTCTGTATTTACTATAATCTTAAAATGTAAAAGAACAACAATTTTGAGTATGAACAGCAAGAAAAAACAATGATGGTTGATGAAGTAGTTACGCCAGTGAAAATAGAAAATGAAATTTCTCCTCACACCTGAAGAGTTCCAGACAATACTTAAAAGCACATTCCATTACCCATGCTCAGAATTCTTTTAAATAAAGCTCCATGCCTGATTTGACTAGAGAAAACAGTCTTGTGGCAAGTGTGAGCATAAGCCGTCCTTTGCTTTTCACTGATAAAGACAAGACAAACTAGAAAAATAATGGTGAAAGATGAAACAAAAAAATGTTTAAAAATTCTGAAGTCAAAAAAAGAAACAATGAACAACTGTTGCAAAATAGGGAAAAACAAACAGTTAACATTTGAAAAATAAACAATCACAACTGCTGGAAGTTAAAAAAATCAAACTTACTCCCTATTCTATAGTGAACTTCTGAGGCCACTAGAATCTAGGCCTTTGAAGGAGAGGCAAAGTTAGCACTATTACCAATGCTAAGACATTACTGCCATGGTAATCAAAACAGCGTGGCATGGAACAACGAAAGTGGCACAGACCAGCAGAAAAGAAACCGAGGATTCAGGAATAAACTGATTAACCTACAGATCTATAAAGTGGGGGAAAGACAACCTCTATAACAAATGGTACTGACAAAATTGGCTTCTACAGAAAACTGAAAGAGACCCATCCATATACAAAAACAAACATAAGATAGACCAATGACCTAAAGTGTGTAACTGTAAACTGTAAAGATCATCAAAGAACAAACTAGGGCAAACGTAGGAGCCCTATAAATGGCTTAGACTATCAAAGAGAACAGAAAATGTACAATCACCAGAGGACTGTGGGCTTAGTGGTAAAGAGCTTCATTGCCACGACAAAAGCATGTACTTCCCAAATTTTCATGTCATCCTTGCAAAGGGGCCATGCTAATCATCTCTGTTCCAATTTCAGTTTATATGCTGCCAAAACGAGCACCAAAGACATGTACATCACACTATCCCCTTCCCGTCATGAGATTTGTTGTTGCTGATTACCACCACTGAGTTGAGCACAAATTCCTAGAGACCCTAAGATCTGAAGCCTTGCTATAGCTATCGTCATTTCTCAAAGTTCATAGTTTTTAGAGGCGTGTTGTTTAGGAAATGGATGCCACTCCTGCTTCCAAATCTGTCTGTCATGTGTATACTGTCTCTGAAAACCCATTAGAGGTTCAGCTATGAGTTGGTTCTGATTCAACAATACACAACAACAAAAGTTAAATATGTGCTTCAAAAGACCTTTCCAAAAGTATAAAAACAGAATTAAAGACTGGGAAAAACTATTTGCCAATGCGAAATGGGACCAGGGATTAACGTTTAAAATACAAAGAAAGCTTGAAACACCTCTATAAGAAAAAGACAACCCAATTAAAAATGGGCAGAAGTAATCAATATATACTTCACCAAAAAAGATTTTTCAGAAAGCCAACAAACACGAGTAAGTTTTTATGATCAATAATTATTAGAAATATAAAATCAAAACCATAATGAGGTATCTCAAACCAGCAACAAAAGCAAAATTCAACAAGGTAGCAAACAAATGGTTGTGAGGGTTTGTAGAGACTAGAGCCCTTGGTGGGAATGTAAAATGGTATAACCACTACAGAAAGTGTTTGCTATTTCCTAAAAGGTTTAGAACAGAAATACAATTTGATGCAGCAACACCATTACTAGGTATATATCCTATATACTCGAAAGAAAGAAAATCTGTTGTCACATTCTCTCTCTCTCTCTCACACACGCACACACGCGCGCGCACATACACACACACACTCTATCTCACTATCTCTCTCTCAAGTTTAGTGAAGCATTATTTATAATAGCAAAGAGCTAGAAACAACTCCAGTAGTCCCAAAATGCAGAAAGGCTAAAAGAAACTCAAGATTACTCCCACTATAGTTTTACTTATCATTTAAAAACAACAAAAAAATTAATTACCGGACATGTATGAATCAAGAATAAATTATGCTTAGCAACATAAGTCAGTTAGAAAAGGAAAATTATAGTGCAAGACTACTATTATAAAAAGCTATGGAAAAGAGAGCTCTGGTGGCCTAGTGGTTAAGAAGCTGCACTGCAATTCCAGAGGGATTCAGTTCTAATCCAACTGATGCTCTGCTGGAGAAGGAGGTACAATCTCCTGTATCGTTTAGATCCAATTTGACGGTATAATAAAATAAAAAAAATAAATATTTTTTAAAAAGCTATGGAAAGGCCTACAAATAAATAGGCTCAATATTGGAGGGTTAATAGGGATAAAAAAGGAGAGAAGGATTGTAAAATTTAATAAATAGGTAAGTTGGGTGAAAGGAAAGGCAGAAGGCTGTAAGGTCTTGATTATTGTTGTGTATCTTACAGTCAAAGTGACCCGACCATCTGGTGGATTTACAGAGGTAGTTACATATGGTAGGAGCCCATTTTTCTCCCTTGGAGAGTGTGGTGGTCTTGAACTGAGTACCTTGAGATTGCAGCACAGCTTCTTGCCATGGCTACTAGTGCTCCCCAATCTAGACATATTCAACTAATTATACTCATCAATGAGAATTAATGTTATAAAACAAAATGTGTAAGAATGACTGAAGTGAATTAGGTCAATAAATGGTGCATGTGATGCACCGAAGTTACCCAATGACAATCAGTACCTCCTTATTTCACAACATTCCACTAGTAAAACTAGGAAGCTACTTACTAACGTTCCCTGAATCACATGCAGTAATAAGATGATCATGAGATCAATATGACAATAGGAAGTAGGAGGAAAAGTTTTGAGTGGCTTTGGTGAAAGAATTTTCTTCACAAAAGAGCCAGAAATACTCTCTTAAGCTGTCCTTCCAATTTTCTTCCTGCCTTGAATGGGGATGTGAAGCCTGAAACTAAGCTACCATCCCGTGACTAGAATAAAGTGCACCCAAAGACATAAGACAAGAAAGCTAAGGGAACAAGACCATTAATTTAAAAATATGATAACTGTAAGATGTATTTTTAAAAATTTTTAATTTATTATTTTTTGTACATGTACCATCAAATCAGATCTGACTGGTACAGGAGGAGGTTGTTTCTCCCTCTCCAGCAGAGTATCTGGTTATAACTAGTAAGGTGTATATAAAAGTTCAAAGGGCAAAGGGAAGGGGGACAGAAAGGCTGAGGATAAGTAAGGAAATCATGGGGTCTCAGTCTTTGGTGGGCAGAAGGAGGGTGTTCAAGAATTAGGAAAGATGCAGGGACCTGAACAACCATGGTAATAGTGGGCATAAATCAACGGTGATTAATTTTATAAAAGATAATGTATGGGAAAGACTGTATGGAACAAAAGGTGAAGGAAGGAAATGTGTCAAACATAATGTATATGAATTTTATATGTTAACCAAAATTTAAGGGGGGAAAAAAAGGGAGGGCAAGGTAAGGGAGGTGAAATAAAACAATAAAAGGTGGAAATCCAGTAACATATTTAAACAAGAGAGAAATACGAACCCCAAAACTTCCAATTCAGAGTTCCAGTTTAAAACTTATAAAGAAAAAAAACCAGACATTTTTGGGGTTGTTTTTTTGTTTTGGGGTGTTTTTTTTTTTTAAAAAGACACTGCAAGGCAGAAAGAATCCTAATATGTCTAACTGATCTCAACTGATTTTAATGCTCCTTCCACAGGAACATGCTATCCAGAAACACAGTTAATGTCAAGTTTTCTATCTTATGTAGCTGTTGTTCTATAACTAAAGACAAAAGTTCCTTCTTCAGAATATTCTTCATTTTCAATAGATTAGGTCGACTGAGATACTATACATCATCAGTAATTTATCAAAGTCTTCTTCCTAAAGAAAATAGGGTTTTCAGCAACAGAGAAAATCAACTTTTCAAAACTCCCTGGAAGAAATATTTAAGTTGTATATGGAAGATACACAAAGCACTAAAATCAATGAAGAGATTAAACAAACTGCAATCTGAAGACAATTAGCACTTTAAAGGAAATTATAATATTTAGAAATGTATCATAATGTTGTTGTTGTTAAGTGCCATCGAGTCACAGGCGACTCATAGCGACCCTATGATGGAGAGTCCTCGACGCTTGGGTGCCTTTCATCCTCTCTCCAGGTTCATAGGGTTTCCGGAGGCAAGCTATTATGGAAGTGGATGCCACTCCTCCTTCCACGCTTGTTTTAATCGGGGAGCTCCACCCCACTCTGTCTGCATATATATCATAATAGAATATAATATTCCACATGGGAATGAGGGCCAAGAATTTCTAGCTCTTTCAAACTACACTGTAACATTACAAATTTAAACCCCTCTTATCAAAGCTTCAATATCTGTTTAGATTTTGGCAACAAAATAAACAAAAACAAAGGTGGACCAATAAAGAACATAATTAACTTTCATCTCTCCTGATATGTGTCCTCTCTTGTAAATTCTGAAAACAGGTTATCCCAAATTATTAAAATTGATTAAGTGAGTAAAAAATGACCAGGATAAATTCCATAGTTATTTAAAAAAATCCAGGTCACACAATCTCATCATTGGACGTCAGATGTAAGTAATAAGGGCTCTGCCACTAGTCCACATACCTCCAGGAGCAGAAGCGTTTCCTGTTCTGTCCACTCTCTTCCAGCACTAGCACCTTTACTCTAAAGAAGAAAAACTAAAAATTACTTATATAGCTTTAAATGGTTAAAGTTAAGGCTCAGTTCTTAAGCTCAGTAAACTGATTATGAAAACCATAAAGTACGTTATCTCATTTTATAACTCCAAGGTATTTATTTTAAAGAAATGTGGTTTTAAAAAAAGTCATTTATTTAGCTAGAGAATAGAGTATGATCTTAAAGCATGATTTTACATGCAAGAAAAGACACATGCAGCTTTAACAAATCAACAAAATTCCATAAAAATAACTTTAATTTTAAAAAAACTTTAATCAAAGGTGGTTCTTTAATGAACAAACACCAAAGGTGTCAATTAAGAGTTGGAACCCCATGAGGAACAAAATTTCAGTATTTCGTCTAAATTTCAGGCACTAAATCCAAAAATAGAGACGATAAGTACAACCCTAGACACATACAATATTTATTGGCAATATCTCAAGCACTAAATATAAAAATGATTTTCTGCATTCTCATTGGCTTAATTCATAGAAAGTAATGTTATATTTTCTTTTCAATGATCCATCTGTTTCACTGATTTTTCTTCTACTTTATTTTCTGTTTAATGTTTCACTGATTCTGTCCTGTGCTTAGTTTTCTTTTTGCTTATCTTGAGTTTCATTTGTTCTTTTACTAATTTACTGAAGTGGAATATAAGGACACAGATGTCAGACCATTTTTAATTTAATAAGATAATTACAATAATTTTCATCAAAGCACTGGTTTAACTATGCCCTACAAATATTGCTATACTATCACTGTTTCACTTTAAAACTTTCTAACTATGCCTGCTCAATTTTATTCTTTAAATACTAGATTGATTATTCTTAACTTCAATATCCAAATATTTGTATTATCTTTTGTTGTCATATTCCTTTTAACTGGTTTGTAGTTACAGTTTTTTCTGTCCACTTCTTTGAGTTCTACCTGTTTTGGCTTTATAAATTTTGCAATTCTTTAATTATATGTTTACACATTTATGATTTTGTGTTTTCCTTATTGACTACTTGTATCATTATGTAAATCTATTTTATTCTATTAAAAGAACTTGTTTATGTCTACATTTACCAAAATGAAGAATACTGACTCTTAAATGTCCAACAGTCAATGAATGAAAATCCAACTTATTTTCATTTTTTAACATCATAGTAACAATAAAATAATAACTTTAATCATTAGCATTCATCTTTTAAAATATTTTTTAAACTATTTTTTGTGACAATTTCTTTTATTGTTGTTGTTGTGTGCCATCGAGTCAGATATGACTGGCACAGGAGACTGTCCATTATTCTCCAGCATATCATCTGATAGATTCGAACAGCATGCCTTCGGGATTGCAGCGCAGCTTCTTGCCACTAGGTCACCAGAGCTCCCTGTTTTGTATTCTTTTACTTTTAAGCTGTCTTTACCTTTTGAAATAGTTCCCTCAGAGACAACATATACTTCTCTCAAGCATTTTTTAAAACTAGTGTGACAGGACCTGCTTCTCAAATGAAACACTTAGACCATTTATAGCTCACTGTCACTACAGTCACCTGTACATCTACTATACTGCTAATACTTTAGCACTTTCCAACCTCATCATGATTTGTTTCTAATTTTCCCTTCTTTCATTTACTCTTCCTCAATCTGCCTTTTAAAGGAAATCATTCTACTGTATCATTATTACTGGCATTATTAACAATACTCACTTTTTTTTAAGTAGTTCCATAAGATTTGTAATATTCATCTCTAATGTATCAGTTACTCTTTAGATACAATGTTAACATTTCATTTTAGTTTAAGAACTATAATTATACTTGCATTTCCATCCCCTATTCTGTGAGCTACACTGGGTTGTTAAAATCTACATATTTTAAGAATAGAATATTTAAATTTTTGCTTTAAATAGTCTATTATCCTCTTTTAAGCACTAAAAATGAAGTAAAATGTCTTTTCTACAGATCCACATGTAAACGTCAGTATACTTTCTACTTTTTATTCTTCTATGAGGGTGCAATCCTCTTTTAGTCTTTGTTGAAAAATTATACTCAAGTTTTACACGATGGACTAAACTTCCAAGGTCACTCTATTGTTTCTCGTGTCTCTAAATATTACACTCATAATCATTCTTGTTTATATTTAATGTATTATACCTGCATATTTACCCTTTCGTGCTATGATGTGTTCTTATAGATGTACTTCCAGAGTAAAAAAATGTTCAGCTTTTTATAATTGTAATAAATTAGCTTAAAAATGTATTACTTTTACATAAAAAAAGGGTTTATTTTCCCCCATTTGAAGATGCACCTTTATGTATGTTCAATTTTGAAAGGCATTTCCCCAGGATGTAGAATTCTCTTACTTTAAAAATATTATTATATTATGCTCTGGCTTCTATGTTGAAAAGTGAGCCAACAACTTTATTATTTTTATTTTGATTCAATGTACTCCATCTCCCCACTAACTCACCTACTTTATTTTGGGTGCTTTTAATAAAAGTTTAAATTTAATGCTCCTGGGTGTAGTTTTCTCTGCATTCAAATTTGGATTTGTGTGGGATATTATCTTTCTAAGTGTTTCCTTTACATTGATTTTGTGAAATTCTCAGTCTTCTAATCTTTAAAAATAATTTCTAGGGAGATCTGGTGGCCTACTGGCAAGAAGTTGTACTGCGATCATGAAGGAGCAGAGTTCAAATCCATCAGACTCTCTGCTGGAGAAGAATGGGCAATCCTTTCCTACGCCATTTGGATCAAATTCGAAGACACAAAAGTTAAAGGGAAAACTAAAATAATTTCTGAGCCATATTATCTCATTTTCTGAGATTCTAATTAGAAATATCAACTTCTTTGAATGCATTTTCTTACACCATTCTTTGTCTTCTATCTCATCTCCAATTTTGTTTTCTCTCAGTGCTTCAGTTTCATTATAGTTACTGTTCTCTTGAGTTCACTGATTCTGTCTTCTGTTGTGTTCATTCTGTTACAATTATCCTAATGCCAGATATAAGTCAATTAACTGCCAAAATTCTTTATCTTTCTCCCAATTTTAATATATAAATCCATTCTTTCTTTTAAAGTATCTAGTAACTAATCATACCAAAGAAAAAGTATGGGTTTTATTATTTCGAAAATGACATCAGAAAGAAACTCATCCATCCCACTGGTTTCTTAAGGAAATAGATATTTAATAAAAAGAACAGGGACACATATTTAAATGGATAGAGGGAAAAGTTCTTACCTTTGCTAAGGTTTTCTTAGAGTAAATATCAGTACGAAGACCAAAATTCTGCAAGTCAATTGGCTTTTCCTTGTTCTTTTCAGGAAAATTTAACATCTGCTGAGCAGCAGGTACCTAAGTCAGGCAAATGATAAATGGCTATATTAACTGTCAGGGGACTAAAGGATAGGATACAGACATTAAAACCACTCCGTTTATAACAAAATTAATACCCACATATCCATTACACACTTGTAACAAAAATTCAACATGTTAAGAAATATTCTTGGGACTTCAGAGAAGAAAACAAATATTTTAAAATATAACATCCGATTCTGTAGCAAGAAACATTCATAGCTAAGGTAGAATTACTATAACTTAAAAATAAACTTCATCTGTTTATCTCCATATCTGTTTATATTTTCAAGAATGTGTATACAGGTATCTTCTTTCAAAATATTAGATTGTTTTCTTTTTTAAAAAAATTCTGGCATACAATGAAGGTAAGAAGCATGTACAAGTAAAGATTTATAAACTCTAATTCCACGTAATGTTCCTGAGATGATACAATGATAAAGGGAGGTATGAATATGACAGTCATCTCTAATTGAATAGGCTAGAGCCCAGTATACTGGTGCAGAGAAAGACTTTAATCATTAAATATTCTTACAGATGCATACATTTACTTTAGTTTGGGGGGAAGGAAAGAAAGAAAATAATCAGTTAAGAAATAACTACATTACATAGTTTATTGCATTACATGAATAATTATCCTAAGAGCTGAGAAGGAATGCTATTCATGGTTATCTGTTACCACCTTGGTCTGAAGTAAATATAAGCCATTTACCTGAGGTGATCGAAGGTGAAGAGGCACCAGCCCTGAAGGAGTATCAGCTAATACGTTAAAATGAGGAGTCGGAGGAGGTCCCATGGCCATAGGTCTACTTTCAGGATCCACTTGGTAATTTACAAGTCCCCACTGCTCTAAAAAGGCATGAACCCTAAGGAATTAAGTTCTAAAAGTTAAAATTTAGAGAATTTAGCTCATGTGCCGCACAATGACACCACTTTAGATTATTTAAAACAGTATCACTGCAACAATGAATGAATGGAAATCCAAAATCCCTGTAAAGGTTCACGGAAATTAATTAAAAAAACAAACAAAAAAAAAAACAAACCACCCAGAAAACATCACAAAGTTCTTGACAATTTTATTTTATGGAGAAATTTTCTACAAATTCTACTTCATATCCCTAGTACCACACCATAGAAACCTAGTAGACTTACTAATTTAAATCACAGAAATGAAATTTTCGTCCACAATGAAAAATTTCAACAAGAAACCACACTTAGAGGAGGAGCTTTACATTTTGGGTTTCTTTATCTTTAGAAAATTTAGGGCATGAAGCTGATCTACCATCTATCTCAAGCCACTATTAACACCTAATCAATTTCATAATGATTATACAATAAAAGGATTAAAAAAATGACAAAAGAAAATGCTATGAAAAGACTTAAGATGATAGCAAATTGATTAAAGTTGATGATTTTGTGATTAATAAATCTAACATTAGATGCAAATACATCAATAAGCATTTACTAGGATATGCCTGGATGAAAGAATTAGGCATTTTACCTCATGACAGCACACACATCTCCAGTCAAGTTCCTCCGACAAGCAGTGCTAGTTAAATACTCTTGGGGATTTAGACGATAGGTATCAATCATAAAATTGCGATATGCCAGATATCTAAAGAACAATGACAAAATATAGAAAGTAAATATAACAACATCCTTTTAGAAACAAAAAAAAATCAAAGAATCAAATATCTTCAGTCTTCAAAGGAGAAGAAATGAAAACAGTAGACTAATGAATAGCAATATTATTTACAATCCTTAAATGAAAACTAGAGTAAAAACCGAAACATTAAAAAAAAACCCATTTTCGAAACCCAGACATTCTTATCTAATGCTTACAACAACAACAAAATAGAGTAATAAAGTTTATTGTAAAATAGTATAACTAAAAGCATGGCCATGGAAGACAATGGATAAAGTGTCCGTTGCCCACAGAACTTGCAACAGGAAATGATGCCATCTCTCTAAGTACAACAGATTTAGTATGTACTGTGTGCTAGGCACTATTCTAATAGCTTCCCCTGAAGCAGTTCATAATTGTTAAAAAATTCTACTATAATGTAGAATCTAGTAGTATTCCAGGGAATTGTGGTGGCTCAGTGGTATGGAATTGCACAGCCAATACACAGTACAAGCGGTTTGAATCTACCACTGGCTCTTTGTGAAAAAGATGGACCATCTCCTTGCATGCAATTTACAGCCTCTGAAAACCTGCTGGAGAATGAGCTATGAGTTGGTTCCAACCCAACAGTACATACCAAAAAACCCACAAAAACCAAATGAACAAAAAAACCAGTACATACCAACAATTATCATTCCACATACAGAAATTCAAATACAAAATGGCTAAGATTTTACCAAAGACCACAGCAGCTATAGAAGTAATACTCTCAAAATGCAGCATATCATTTTTATATTATTCCTGGAGTCACATTATGAATTTGACAACTCCTCTACAACCCTGTGACTGATTTTCAAAAGGTCACCATGTGGGCAAGGAGTAGAATCTATGAGGGTGCACTCACACGTAAAACAAGAATACAGAGGGGTGGGGTGAGCAAGGTAAAAATGTGCAACAATAAATGAATGGGGAAATAAATGAAAAGAATATGCTGTAAAAAATATATATACACAAAAAATACACGCTGCATTAAAAAAATCATTAATAATATAAAAAGGAAGAAAAATAAAACAAGAATATAAAAAATATGAGACTGAATTACAGCAAATTCTATAATATATACAATTATTTCTGCCGCTAAACACAACAGGAATGTTAAAGAAAGGAGTTCAAGACTTACTCTTGGCAAACAAGCAAAAGAAATTTGACAGTTTAAGGTAAATATATTTTGAGTAGGAAAAATACACTGTTCAAAAAGTCCATGCATAAGTACATACAGTTAAACAAAGACAGGAGAATTAGAAAGTACAATGATCTGCAATGTTGTGCTTTTAAACAGAGGGTGGTGACGTAAATATTTCCAAAACATAAATTAACTGGAAGACTATGGTGTCTGCAGGGATAGTGGGAGAAAAGGTAGGGCTTCTTAGGGCAATCTTTGAATCCAGCCTTCCATGATTCATTAGTTTTCTTGGGGAAGGCAGAATTTATCTCTAGCATTCAAATGTAGAAATTGAGAAAATACTCATTATTCAATTACTTGTTTTTATATGGTTAATTAAAAAATTTAAGTATTATCAGTTTAAACAAGATAAAGCTAATTTTTCAGTCATAAGTTTATAATAGATAATAAGTTAACCTTATGAGATTAGTATTTACAATGTATTTATGGAAAATATGAACATATTTTAGTGGTAATGGTTTCTCAACTCACTACCATCAAGTCATTTCCGACTCCCAATGACCACCCTCCATGAAGTTTCCAAGGCTCTAATGCAATGAAGAAACTGCCCATTTCCTACTGAGCAGCTACTGGTGGATATGAATGGCCAGAGTTGCGAGTGTAACAACAGGGTGACAAAGGAGAAAAGCCTTGATCAAAATGTTTCCTGAAAAAAACTCAGATAAATGTTTTAAACTTCCACCACAAGCATTAACAATGTGTTCTGAAGTAAAGTGTGCAGGTATAAGAGGGCTCGCTGGTGGGCTGCTAACCAAGGGTTAGTCACTAGAATCCAGAAGATCGTCGGTAGTAGAGGATGAAGAAGTCTCCTACTGACAGGATTTATAACCTTGGAAAAGTGACGGAGGGTCACCATCAGCTGGGACTGACTCTACAAGAATGGGTTTAGTTTTGAAATCAACGTATTGTTATATCTAGTCAGTAACCAGGAAGGTAAAATGATAGATTCCATCTCCTCCCTGAATCTGAAATAATTTATACATAAATATACACAGTCCAGAAAACATACATGCACAAAGGACGGAAGGACTTAGGAGATATGTGAATTTATTTGAGTGACTATGAGAAACTGAGTAAATCTTTACTACAATAGTTAACAAGCACATGAGGAATAACTGAGGCACAATGGTTGCATTATCTGGTTACTAAGCAAAGAATCAGCAGTTTCAAGCTACCAGCAGATTAATGATAGAAAGATGTGGAAGGATTTAGAGCCCACGGCAGCCCCATGGGGCAGTTCTATGCTGCTGTACAAGATCAACATGAATCAGAATGGAAGCAATGGCAGAAAGTTTGATTTTGATTTTAGAAATGCAAGGAAGGAAGAAAATAAATATGATTTCCACTGAAGGAAGAAAGACTATGCATATGTGATATGAACATTGTTTTGACAAGAATACAATGTGAAAACTGCCAAGAGCCACTAACAATTAACTGAGAACACATTTTAAAAGACCCTGTCAGACATAAAGAGGGCTAGTGGCATAAAAGGCAATGTGTCAGGCTGCTAGGCTCCTGCAGAAGATTGGTAGTTGAAACGCAACAAGCTGTTACACAGGACAATGATGAGCTCTCTCCTGCCGAAGATGTACACCCTCAACTCTATGGAAGGCTGCTACGGGTTAGCATCAGTTCAGTAGTGGGTACTACAGGTGCACAAACATAAAACTATTTCTAAACACTGGCCTCAGCAGCATATGTAATAAGTTACATCTTTAAAGCTCACTCACATTTCTGGAGTTTTGGATTTGTTTTTGCCATTGAAAAACTCAGGAAGAGCACGCCGTTCAATCACATGAATGCTGAAAGAAAAAAAAAGAGGATTGGGATTTTTCATAAAATAGATACTTTCTTGTACTAAGCTTATTTACTGTCAAAGTAAAAGTTACTGAAACAAAAAACTGAGCACAGCTTATCAAAATTAACTGGTTTGCACAAACTCGTACATAGTAACACTATAAAATTAAAAGTTATAAAAACTGAGCCTCCCCAGGATTAACTCATCTATCCCAACAACAAACCCTCTTTACTTTCTCTTCATAACTGATAGGACCAGCCGATAATCTAAAGAACAGAGAGAGTTCTTTGGTTCTTGGATGGCAAAAATCAAAGTAAGATACTATATAAGATCAACAGTTAGATGAAATAATTAATGATCAAGACAAGACAATAGAATTTGCTATGATCAGTTATTCAGGCCGTTAAAAGCACACAGCTTTGTATGTCTTTCAGGTACTTTAACTGCTTCTTTGCATTTTGGCTAAGATCAAATGCTGATAATGTTAAATGGTCTGCATAAATTATTAAAATTACATTGCTAATTTTTAAAAGCTTTTGAATTTGTAATTCTTCCAGCTTTTGAATTGGTAATTTTTTTTCTCCCTTGCATCTTTCGTTCTGAAAAGGCAGAGGCAAAGGCACAGGATCAAAAATGACGGCTGCTGAATAAAAATTATAGTGTATATAAAAATGTGAACAGATTTTAAAATCATAACTGGTAAGTTGTCTATAACACCTTACTGAAAATTATCAGGCTGTCCTTGGGACTGACTGCTGGAGCCAAATTTATCTCAAAAAATCTACCTCATCTAGATTTAGAAAAGGTGATGCATGTTGATATTTAATGGGAGCGCTGATGGTCTAGTGGTTTAGAGGCTGCACTGCAATCCCAAAGGCACCAGCTGCTCTGTGGGACAAAGATGGGCAATCTCCTCCCCAGCGATTAACTGCCTCTGAAAACCTGCTCAAAGGTCAGCTATGGGTCAGTTCCAACTGATGCTACACAACAACAATAATACTTTTTAACATTTATGAGGAAAAAAACACTACCCTATTAATGTTGAAAAATGTTACTCATAAGATACATATGTGTGCAATATAAATAAATGTTTTAAATTATTTTATGTTTCAATAATTTTATTTTCTATCTACTGGGAGAAAGATGGACAATCTAATTCCATGCAATTTACAGCCTCTGAAAACCAGCTGGAGGATGAGTCTGCTCAGATTTGACATCACAATACAGCAACAACAACCAACAACATATTTGTATTTCTTTTTTTAAAAAAAATTTTTGGGGGGGACGGGGGAGCAGCTGAGAGGGAAAACTACTTGGAAGAAAGATGGGCAATTTCCTCATGTGTGATTTACAGCCTAGAAAAGCTAGTTGGAGGGTCAGTTATAGGTCAGTTCTGGCTCAATGGCAATGAGGAGTTTGTTGTTTACTGCGCATTCCCCCCCCCCTTCTTTTCTTGTTATATACTAGATCTTGCTGGCACAGGAGGAGAATGCCCCTCCTTCTGCAGCAGATCATCTGCTAAATTCAAACCGCGTGTCTCTGGGACTGCAGTGCAGCTTCTTTGTCACAAGGCCACCAGGGCTCCCTGGTTTATTGTTGTGTTTTTTGGGGGGGCCTTTTATCACCCCCGAGAAGGGTTTTAAACAAGAATGATAATGTATCGTCATTAACAGCAGGACTCTCAGATTTTTTTGGTAATGGCACAGTCACTGAAAAAAAAACCCCTAAACTTCCAGTAGAATTACCTCAGAGCACCTAGCACTTGTTAGCAGGGGTAAATACCGGTACAAAGATTTAAACTGAAGGAAAAAAATCAATCTCTCCTCATAACAAATTTGTAAGTCATATTCTAGGACTCCGTTGTGTACCACTGAGCAGTAACTAACTGATAATTGAGCTTCTACTGGATATTCAAAGGCAGTAAACCACACGAGAGGAGACTGCCCATCTTTCTCCTGCACAGCATCTAGAGGATTTGAACCCAGTACCACGCACTGATAGTGCAATTTGTTACCTCTAGGTCACCACATAATTCTAGTTACTTCGAACCACACTCCTTAGACAATTTTGGTTGTTAACTTTTTCATATCTGAAGGTTGAAATCTAAAGAGATTTGTAATGTTATTTTCATATCTCTTCTTTAAATACTTCGAATAGTAGGCCTAGTTTTTCATAGAAATTTAAAATCATAATACATATCCATGTTTAGTTATTAAATACACAATAATTTTCTGAATTATAATGTATACAGTATTAATCATAGAAAAGATTATAAAATTTTAGTGTTAATAATGATACAATCACATTTCCAATCTTAAATTGAGTTAAGTGACACATTCAAAGATAGAAACCACTTAGCATGAACCTTCAGTGTTAACAGTGATGACTCATCCATGGATATGAATAAAAAGTTAGAACAAGTTATCAAAGAGCTTTTCCTTTAATTTTAAGTACTGTGTTGAGAGATAGGAAGGGCACACTCACCAGTTATAATCAAACCATGAAGCATAGCTGGGAATAATAATGTGATTGGTCTGCTCTGTTACATTTTCTTCACCAGGGTCAACTGAGCGATTCTGATCTCCTTTGCCAGGATCTTCATCTTCCTACAGAAAAGTCCAAGTTCAGAAAAAGAGAACAAAAGAGACACAAAATACATTTGACTTTTTAATCTGGTTTGTGAAAGCTTTGCAAATCTCCTAAATTTATTTTTTTCTATCACTTCAACCCAGAACCAGAATTGCACATGATAAACTCTATCAAGACTATATACTTTGTTTTCTTTAATCCTTACCCATTTTTAGCATAGGAAATACTGTAGGACAAGGTTTTAACAATCTAGACCAGTGTCTTATAGAAAATCCAACATAAGCAATTTCTACTTAAATGCTATTTTGATGATGAGTAAATTATTATTAAAGATAAAAGTTCACATTCTGATGTCTTTCAATTCTGTATCAACCTCTACCCTATGTTTCCAATCTCATCAAGTTTTTAAGATATGAGGCTAACTTTATATACTATTGATTCTAACAGTTAACTAAATTTATATTTTTAATTAAAACTAAATTTTCTAAGCTATATTATTTGAGGTGAGGATTTACTGTTCTGACTAGAAAATTAAGACAATAGTTTACTTGAAATTATTAACTATATAAAAAACCCTCACAAATGACAGCAGAAACTAGAACCTCTAGTTAAGTCTGATACGATACTCAAACTAAACACCAAAATAAAAGGAATAAATTCTACTCCCGAAAGAACAGAATCTACCAAAAACGAAACTATGTCCATCTTTTCAGTTTTGTGGTTTTTTTTGTTTTTGTTTTTTTTTTTCAGGAGAGTAGGCTCCTCAATGAGATGGATTAATTCAGTCACTAGGGTAATAGGGATAGGCATGTTGGAGACTATAAGATTGGCAAGAGAGAGAGCAGGGATTAGGGCTGTTATACATAGGGTTGCTATGAATCACAAGTGACTCGATGGCACATTAAACAACAACAACAAAGTTTTAAAATGAAATTTTAAATAGTCTTGTTCATTACTTTGAAACTACTCATGTTCCTGGTATGAAAAACCATAAAAGGTAAATTGTATTGACTTTTTATTTTGGTTTACTTTACTATCACACAATACTTTTTACTCTATAAACAATGGTATATCTTTTTAATATATGATATTTGTAAAAAGGAAATATTTGACTGTTAGACTGAAAAAAAAAACAGGGAGAAAGGAATAAAAATATGAATAGGTAAGCTGGGTAGAAGAAAAAGCAAGACACAATATGAATATGTGACTGATTAGACAATGTAATTAATCAATTATACTAATTAATGGTAATTTATGTTATAAAATGAAATGTCAATGGGCAAATGAGAAACCAGTCTGATTTGTAAGCATTCATGGAGAATGGAGAAAAAAAACCCACCACATCAAAAAAAAGCAAAATGTGAAGGCTACATGGGTTGAGTTAAGTCTATGGCAACAGAAGTAGGAAGGAGAGCATCAGGGCAGCTCTGCTAAAGTGCTGCAGCACACCAGAAAGCTGTGATCAGTTCTGACTACCACTGTGCAGCAAGGGGAGAAATCAAAGATATGTCTTGGGAACAGTATAGCCAGAGTGCTCATTGGAGGCAAGGATGACAAAGCTACTGTTACATACTCTGGGCTGGTCATTAGGAGAGGTAATTCCTTGGAGCAAGACATCATGCTTGGAAATGTGACTGTAGCCAACAGATTTACATATGTCAGAAATGACGAGTATGTTAAAACAACTATGAGATATCATCTCACCCCAGTCAAAATAGCAAAATTTAACAGAACAGCAAGCAATAAATGCTGGCGAGGTTGTAGAGAAACTGGAACCCTTATTCACTGTTGGTGGGAGTGTAAAATGGTGCAACCCTTGTGGAAAGCGGTATGGCGCTTTCTCAAAAAGTTGCAAATAGAGATACCATTTGACCCCGCAATACCACTACTGGGAATATACCCCGAAGAGACCATAACTGACACCCAAGCAGATATATGCACACCCATGTTTATTGCAGCTTTGTTCACAATAGCAAGGAGCTGGAAACAACCTAAGTGCCCATCAACAAATGAATGGCTAGAGAAGCTGTGGTATATTCGCACAATGGAATACTATGCTGCATTAAAAAACAAGGAACTCATGCAATATTATTCAAAATGGTTGACTCTGGAAACATTATGCTGAGTGAAATGTCCCAGTCACAAAGGGACAAATATTGCATGCTGCCACTGTTGTAGAATGGGACTGTCCTTGGGGTTGGGGAGAGACTGAGTAAGATGGGTTCAATAATGTATGCTGCTCTGAAACAGAAGAGAGAAAACTGTTTAAAAGAGATATGTGATTAGGTATTTCTGTCATGACAGGAGTCTAGAGCGATGGCTACATGGTGGAGTGGACCTGGGGGAGGGTTTGTAAAATAATGAAAGAATCTTTTCTTTCACTTTTCCAAGAGGGTAATGTCTGGTGGGGGGGGAACTTTGGGAGGGGACAAATCTACAACAATGAATGAATGGAAATCCAAAGCCTCTGTAAATTTTCACTGAAATTAATAACAAATTTAAATTAAAAAAAAAAGAATTAAGTTAGAGTGAGGATGGCAATGGAACCACCTTATCTCTGTAACTTGATTTGTGCCACTATTAGAACCTCTACTCAGAATATTATTGCTTTTCAATTTTTGACTCATGCACTTTTAACTTGTTAGTTAAATTTGTATCTTCTAGGCTGCAACACTTCCATGATACATCTTCAAGGATATGAACATGTACAGCTAAGCACAACTGATAACAGTGCATCTAAATTCCAAAATCAATCTCCATAATAGTCTATGTGTTTCCTACTGCCAAAGGGGCCCTTTAGAGTAGTGAGAGAAGACCTTCACCCTGAAACCCACAGCGACCCTTTTCAGTAGGAAGTAGCTAAGAGAATACGCCATCCCCTTTTCCTTATGAATCAGGGTGAAGTCTCTCTCAGGGAGGAGTGATAGGGAATGGCAAAGGACACACTGACAAAGGAGATTAATCAGAACTGGCTTTGACAAGCACTGTGGCAATTGGACAATTATAACAGACATGGGGGGGGAGAAGAACGAACTGGGGAGGAGGGTGGAGAAAACAGTGCAACAAATGAATGAATGAAAACTAATAAAATTTAATAAAAAAAAAGAAATGATGAGTATGGCACAAGGAAGGACAAGGTTCAGATCTGTTGTCACAGGGGTCACTATGAGTTGTGCTTACCTCAATGGCACCTTACAACAAGGGAAAAATGAAACTGGAAATTGCAGTGTACTATGAATATCACATGAGAAGAATTCTTTCTCGATAAAGCCTGGTGTGCCAAGTAAGGCACATGTACAAGAGTGTTTAAAGGAAATGAAAACAAAATCCCTCAAAATAATACTAAGTGCCTAAGGACACTTCTAATTCATTATTTCCGTTACATAAAACACAGGCCACCAAGAGCTACTACTACAACAGGACTACAGAACTGTTACCTTTCCTCCGGCTGTAACAGTTTCTTCATCTTGCTCATCTGTAAAAAAATCAAAATATTTAATTTATATTAAAACAGATAAGTGTCTGGATTTCTTAGAAACTGTGACAGAAAAGAAAACAACATTACTGAAGCAAAATTACAAAAAAATAAATTAGGATATTTACATAGCAAAGACAGAAAATTTACACTCTAAAAATAAAGAATTTAATTAATTACAACTTAGACTAATATCATATTCTCAATCTTGCTTAATAGGAAGTAAGAGATTTGATTAGGACTCTTGCCTCCCCTGTGGTTTGATCAAAGTAACGACACTTTCAAGACTAAAAGTAATTAGTTCCAGTAAGACTGTTACTCATTTCTTGAGGAGATTCCTCTACTCCTAATTGACAGTATTTCAAAAAGAGCAAACTCAAATGCAGTATAAACTAGGAAGGCAATTTACTCCATGAAATGTAAAAAGGTACATCAGAGTAATATAAAAGAAAAGCAAAAAGGGTTAAGAAGTTATAGCACAATTACATTCTTCTTAGTTCTCATTGCCATCAAATAAAAACCACCTAGTAGTTTTTAAATGGGTTTTCAAAGCTGCAAAGCACACGTGGAGACTCACATCTTTCCCCTATAAAGTTAATGGAGTCACATATCCAGAGAGGTATAGCCTTTGCTTATGCAGAACTACACAGGAACTATGACACCAGAGTGCCAATAATTAAGTGCCTATGATGTACTATTTACTTATAATTACAATAATTCTTGGTAATGAAAACTCTAAAGTTAAAAACAACATGGAGATGATCCTATCTACTTATTTATTCAACATATATCCTTGAAAGCCTGCTATTAAAAAATTACTAAATAAGCAGACTGGACCAGAGTATCAGGAATTTATTGTCAGTTTCCTTATGTTCAAAAAAATTTAACCCAACAGTGATAAGACTTCAAACACTGGCAAACATAGAAATTAACTGAAAGCACAGAAAACCTAATTCTAGAAATCTTTCTGAAAAAAAAAAAACACCACAACAGAAGTCCCTGTGACCATGGGATTGTGACCAGCTTGGTTTTTAGTACAAAACCCAAATATAACAGAGAAGAAATTGGACTCAATAAAAACTTGAATTTAAAAAAAAAAAAGCTTCCAATTGCGGAAATAAAACAAAAAATTAAACCATGAGCTGGAGGAAGTACTGGGAGAAAACACAGTCACGGGAGCACTCTGCCTCCTGTTCTCCGAGGGAACAGGTGGGGGGTTCAGACTGAAAACCTTTTCATTAGCTGCAGAATTTAGTTAATCTGATTCCCAGATAAGTTAGGTTCCCAAGCAAGTGACGTTCATGTGAACAGTCCACCTTTATATTTTATAAAAAAGGTTATCTGGCATAAAATACATCACTGATAATACAATAACATCATCTTTTGCAATTTCTAGGCTCATTTCTGTACTCAAGGCTGTATTTTCCAACTAACCGTTCTTTGTTTACAACTTCTGCATTTTAGTCACCAATTATCCACTCATTTTAATAAATGTGTGATCAACTTAAGACTATACATGTTGGTAGAAATTCTCATTTATCTATTTCTTTCATGGTTAATGTGTATTTCAATAGTTATAGTAACATCCTGTCCTTGTATGCATATGGATAGTATCGTATAATTCATAGCAATGGACGTCAGGATAAATCTTGAAATGATTTAATGATGAATGTGATACCATCTTTAATTATGCATCCTCAACATAGATTGTATGTGTGATTCAGGTGGTCAGTAATATCGAGGACACAGAACTTTATGCGTTCCATTTCCTTTTTGATAAGGTCCAATTTTCTTGGAGAAAAAAGATATCACACTGGGAAAGTTGGAGCGTCAGAGGAAGACTCTTAAAAATATTGACACATTGACTGTAAAAGCATGTAAGAGTTTTTGAGTAGGATGCAAGCCAGGACTAGGTGCACATTTGCACAGGATCACCATGATTTGATGAGCAAGTCAAGAGCACCTACGACAACTTACTTTGCTGCATTCTTCAGACATTGCATGTTAAATTATTAATGGCATGTCAAATTATTAATGGATGTTTGCTGCTGTTTTGAGTCTTGCCACATCAACAAATGAAGGATCCCTCATTGAGTGAAAAGCTTTACTTCATCCACTTCACCAAGGTGGACCTGCTGTGAGGAGGCAGCTTTTCTGCAGTTACATTTTGAGGGCTCTCTAACCTGGGGGACTCATCTTCTGGCACTACATCCAAATCAGTGCTGTTCTGGCATTCAGAGGGTTTTTGAAGGTCTGCTATTGCAGAAGTGGATAACCAGTGCTGCTTCTGTGTCTGCATATGGATTATTAACCCCTAAAAAGTGACTACTTCTTGTGTACCTTAGAGTCAGAACCGACCCCCAGCTGGCCCTCCAAAAAGTTTTCAGAGGCAGTAAATCATTCGGGAGGACACTGTTCAAAGATGCCAAAAATTATTTCTTGTTCAGGTTTTGGTAAACCACAGTTTATGCACTGGATAGTGATAGTGCAACTTATTGATGACGCTCTCAATGAAAAATACATTATTTTCAGATTTTTGTAATTACAATACCAAGCAATTAAGACTACAAACTGTGAATTTAATCACTATTGGAGGATCACTGTCATGTTCAGGTAATAGTGCACAAACCCAGGACTCCTAAACTTAGCCTCGATTTGATTCTTTCTTTTTGACTTTGACAAAGTTCACTGTAATTATCCTCTAAATGTTACTTGATTTTTAAAATAACAATTGTCTACTCCCTTACTGATACAGATCAATCTACTTTTCAGGCAATTTACCTAGCAAAAAGAAATGGTTGTTTTCTTTAACAAACTGTTGCAGCACAGACGAGAAGTCTGTGAAGGTTAATTCCATATGTCAACGTGATTAGGTTTAGTTCACAGTGGCAAACAAAAGACTAGTTTCATATCATAATGCAATTAAATTCAGTGTAATCAATCATCTTATATAATGTTACCTATTATGCCCTTAAACAATCAGTTAAAGCGTCAATTTCCTTAGAATGTGTCCATCTTCCAGACTGGTATTATACTATATACATATTTGCATTTACATGTGTGTGTGCATGTTATTTTTTTGTTAGGTACCACTGAGTTGAGTATGACTCATAGCAGCCCTATGTACAAAAGATCTGAACCTAGTCCTATTCTGTACCATCCTCATGCTTCCTGACATACAAGAGCCAACTGCATCAGTCACTCTGTCAATCAACCTGGTTGAAGGTCTTCCTCTCCTTCGCTGATCCTCCACCCTTCCCAACATCATGTCCCTCTCCAAGGAATAGCACCTCCTAGCAATATGTCCAAAGTATGTGAGGTCAAGTGTTATCATTCTTGCCTCCAAAGAGCAGTCTGGCTCCACTCTCTCCAAGACATAGCTGTCTGTTCTCTTAGCAGGCCATGGAATATTCAGTGTTCTCCTCCAACACCACGTCTCAAAGACATCAATTCTTTTTCTGTCATTCTTAATCACTGCCCAGTTCTCAGATGCATAGCTAGTTATCGGAATGACTATGGCCTGAATCAGACGCACCTTAGACATCACTACTCCTCAATAATTTGGAAAGATTCCTAACTGCAGATTTTCCCATTTCAATGCATCTCCTTACACATGCATATATACACACAAACTCAAATGTGTATGTGTACATGTATGTGTTAAGTATATACACACACACACACACTTTCATTGGTTCTGTTTCTCTGGAAAACCCTAAGACAGAGTCTAAACAATCTACCACTCTATACCTAATTTTCAACATTAGAAAATAAGACCATTTAAAATTTGGTTTTTGCTTTCATGGTCTTGATTTGGTAAATAAGTTAGACAACATAAATGAAATAAAAACATAAAGTGTTAATTTGTTCAAGACCTGTATTTCCTAAAAAAGTTTAAAAACAAGATCCAAATAATGTTTTGACACCTCCTTCATTATTTTGAGTAGATCTTAAAACTCATTCATATAAAATGAGTGACATTAAAACAATTACTGCTTCTACTCTGAACATGATTTAAAACAGAATTCTCTACTGATTTCAATGCCATGATGTAAGGCAAGGAATACTGACTATGCTTACAGTAAATGAAAGTAGAAAACTTGTCTAAAAAAACCCACTCCTATTCCCCATCAAATATCAATATGATTTATTAAAAATATAGAATTTAGTTAAATATGACATAGAGATATGAAGGTCCTCTTTTACATAAAGTGATCTCCAAATTATCTTCTGGGCCAAAATCCTTTAAAGAAAGAAAACATTTCTTTTTAATATCCTAAAAATACTAGGTCCTTGGGGAAGGGGGGGTGTTGGGGACTGTTTAACAATGAAAAAGCTTTTTTCCCTCACCCCTCCAAAAAAAGCTAACTTGGGGGGGGGGGATGTGCAACAATGAATGAATGGAAATCCAAGTCCTTTATAAACTTTCATTAAAATCTTAAGGGAAAAACCCCAACCTAGGTTCTATTTGATTTTAATAACTGAAAGAAAAGTTATTTAGATAATTATGTCTAACTCTCAGAAAAAGATATTTAAAACTATTTTCTTAACTGAGTGACTTTTTGTTCTCTCCTAAATTCAGAAGATTATTATCTGCAGCTTGAAAAACTTACCTAAACTTAAGACATGAAATATGCATCAAATTTAACAGCTATTGCTTTAAAATTCATATATTCTAATTCCATGCATAATGTTCCCATCTTTGCTAATTTATAGGAAAAATAATACAGCCAAGGATGAGCAGAACACTTGCTACAGAAACAGTGAATGCATCAGAGGAAATCAATGTTTCCAAGATGATGGCAAACCAAACTGTTAAGATGCTAAAAGTAGGCATAGTCAATATTCTATTTTAGTAATCACAGGACTTAAAATAACATGTCTGAGTATAGAAAGAACTAACAGAAGAGATAATAAGATTTAAAGGGAAAAAACAATGCAAAACAAGTTATGGATTTCTATTATCTTTCTTTTACCTAGATCTGCGACAGTTCCTCCTTTCACAGGTGTATTTTCACTGTCTTTCTTTGGGTTTACTGTTAAGGAGGGAAAAAAGCACGTGATCAAAAAGTACATGCATCTCAGTGCAACTCCAAAGTAATTTATTTACTGTGCCCCAGTATCACAAGCTCAATTTTGAAATATTAGTAGTTAAAAGACAAACTATGTAATTAATTAAACAAGCTTCAACATTTTATAGCAAAAGGAAATGGAGAAGTATATGGAATAAAAGGTGAAAGGAACATTTAACCCACTTGCCCTCTCCAAGCATACTATGCTTGATAAACATTTATTTTACGCATGAGAAAACATTTCTGTGATTCATTGCTATAAGAGTTCAGAACTGATCTCTTTCATACATCTTCAGTGAGTTCAAAATATAACCTGAGGGTTTAAAAAAACAAATCAAAACTCAAAAGCAAAACATCTGAAATATCATCTCATCCTAGAAACAATAGCAACGTTAAAAAGGGCAGCAAATAACAAATATTGGCAATGTTGTGGAGAGACTGGAACTCTTATTCCCTATTAGCGGGAATGTAAAATGGTACAGCCACTACTGAAAACAATGTGGCACTTTCTCCAAAAGGTTCAAAACAGAAATACCATTTGACTCAGCAATTCCACTATTGGGAATATACCCTAAAGAAACCAGAGCCACGACTCAAAACAGACATATGCACATGCATATTTATTGCTGCATTAGTCACAACAGAAAAGGGATGCAACGCAGGTACTCATCAACAAACGAATAGCTAAGAAAACGATGGTACTTTCACACAGTGGAATATTATGAAACACTGAAAAACAAGTATACAGTGAGTGAAATATCTCAGTCACTAAAGGACACTTCTAACACTGCTGTTACAAAACAGGACACATGTGGTAGAGTGGTTGGGAAGAGAATGTGAAAACAGTGGACAGATAATGAACAGTGCAGTACAGCAGATGAGGGAAGAACTGTTTCAAAGTAAACTGATTACGCACACAATGTTGTGAGTCACAGAATACAAATCTTACTAACATAACACCTCCCACCTGGGCTATCAAAAGTTAATGATAAGGGGAGCTCTGGTGGCCTAGTGGCAAGGAGCTGCAACTACAATCCCATAGGCGCACGGTTCAAATCCACCAGATGCTCTGCCAGGGAAGGAGGGACAATCTCCTCCTGTACCAGTCAGATCTGATTTGACGGTACTCACTCACTCACACTCTCTCTCTCACACACACACACACACACACACACACACACACAAATAAAGTTAATGATAAAGGGAGAGAATCCTAATAGCAAGAACAGTCACTTACAAAGAATCCTCAATAAGATTAAATATAAATTTTTCCTTAGAAAAACTGGAGGGTGGTAAAGGAACAAACTCTTCCATATCACAATGCTGAGTCTGAATTGACTCAACAACAGGGATTTAATAGGTCTAACTATGCAATGTACTCTCCTTTTTTCACACCTAAAGTAGTCGCATCAAGATTAAAAAAATATTGTCCAAATAAACAAAACAATAAATAAAAAAACTAAAAATAGGAGAATTTCTTGAAAATTAAATAAATGTCAAGACGGGAAATATGTATTCGAACTGTGGACCCAAAACATAAAGCTGCAACCTTCCATGGCATTGATGGAATTATTAAATCATGTCTAAACATATGGTTTGTGTTGTAAGAAGGATACAAACCATTTTTTGGAAGTACAACTTCTTCTATGTTGGGTACGGGTGTTGGGTCTTCCATGTCCTTGGTAAGGTCTTCTTGTTCTTCTTCCTCTTTCTGGTTTCTGCGTTTCCCATAAAGACTAGCTTGGCTACAGTACACAGAAATAAAATAGTAAGATTTATTAAGGGAATACCTCCTTTTTAATTATCATGTAACACAACAGTTGCTAATTTAACGTTTTTCATATACACAATTTAGTGACACCAATTACAGTAATGATGCTGTACAACAATCAATATGTATTACAAATTTATTATCATAAGTTTGATGGCTCATAATGTTGTTATATGCCGTCGAATTGCCTGCAACTCTAATCCAATTACTATGTACAACAGTTCTGAACCCTGCTCTATCGTGAGCCAATTTTATTGTCTCTGACACACCTACCCCCCAACCCCAGTCACTGAGTCAATAAATAACAGTTACTGATTAAAACAGGAAAATTACTTCCTTGTAAAATACAAGAAAGTGCTTCTGTAATATTTAAGAGTCACACCATGTGTATGAGTCAAAAAATCTATTCAACAGTACTGGAATGGCTACTTGATAGATGTTTTCAACAACTTCTCATGTTGGGCCTTCATTACAGTAAGAATTCTATATTCAAAATTATTTTAAAAGACAAACAGGAATAAAGTAAATCTAACACATTCTGTAAATTAAATCAGAAAAATAGGAACCAATTTGGCAGAGTCTTCAAATTATGTCAAAACGGTCATTACAGAACAGATACAGAAATTCAATTACTCAAACAGCACATATTACTCTAAAAGTGGCAATAAATTATTGGAACAAAAGCATAACTCTGTGGCACTGCTGTGTTCTTACTCATAACTGACCATTTCACTGGGTCTCTGAGTCTGTAAATGACACATAAGATTGGCCATCTTGTTCTTGCAGAGCTGCTGGTAGATTCTAACAGCCAACGTACAGCTCCCCTAAAGAACACAGTACCACAGCTCCCTAATGAAAGCACAAGTCCTAAGGCAATGAAGTGGACCTTCCCTCAACTCTAAAACGACAGTTAACAAAATGGTAACAGAAACTTTTCTCAACATCTATTAACAGTGTTATTTTCTATCTTCAGTTATTCCTATCTTTATATCCTTCATCAGAACCAACTCACAGCTGATCCTCCAATGGGTTTTCAGAGGCAAGAAATGGAATGGGATGAGCCTGTGCATCTTTCTCCCATGGAGAACCTGCTGGATTCAAACTGCCTATCTTTGGTTTGGTAGTACAACGTCTTACCTTTCAAGTATCAATCCAACTAATATTTCTTTTTGAAACTACTATTTGACAGAAAGACTTCAAAAAAGATTGACTCTACTATGACTTACAAGAGATAAAAGAGCAGAAAACATTTAAATACTTGACATAAAGAGTACCAATAGTGGAAGATGAGTAAAAGGTGCCAAGGAATATAGCTGAGAGAGTAATAAGTTGTAAAGAGTTGGTAGAGTAAGATGTAAAATTTAAGCTGCACTTGGAAGACTGAGAAACAAGTCACTAAGAATTAGGTAATATGACAGGAACAGGCATAAAACCATAATGGGGTAAATCATAAAATGTATGTACTTTGGAATGGAATGAGTAATAGTCTAAACAAGAATGGATACTAAAATCTTGTGTTTGGACAGTCTTGAGGTCACAAAACTGCAGATAATGCTGCAAGTTCTCTTCTACCACTGACAATATACTGGTACAGACCAGAATAAAATATATAAATAAAAACACTGGCGTTTTGGGTTTTTTTAAATAAAAATGCCAAGACTATTTTTAAAAGAGGCAGAAGAGATAAAATAATTTTTTAAAAAAGAAAATATACAGGGAAGATGAACACAGTAAATGTCACAAAACAAGTTTCAGCATAGTATATAAACACCAAAGTCCAAAGAACATATTAAATGGGCGAAAGCCTGATCGTTACAAAGCTCTCACTCCATGTAACCATTTATTTTGAGAAACTTAATTCAGTGGATTTTGCTGTAGGTCTCTCAAACATCACACTGGTTCAATGGATAGTAGTGTCCTGGTGCCCCATCTCAGCTCCTACACAGAATAGCAATGTATCTTCTTCAAGGCTAACAGACATTTAGAAAATCTGTACTGGCTTTTATCACAAGGATCTTCAACAGCTCTAGAGTCTCTTAACATCAATAGCTAGATTCTGATCAGGAAGTTCTACTGCTCGAATCTAAAGAAAAAAATTTTTAGGTATAATTTTTACGTTTTTGTAGTAATTTCTTCTAAATTCACAAAATAGGATCTTCTTAATACCAATGGGCTCATAATAAAAAAAAATTTTGGAAGAAGACACTTTTTCCTCACTAGTTCTAAAATACGTGAAATTACATTTTAAAATAAGATTCTTCAATATATAGTTAAGCGAAGTCACTATTAAACATCTACTTCAGGAGAAACACTCTGTAAGTGCATTTAAGTCTTATTTGGTTCTCAGTAAAACACAGCTTTTTAGCTTTGTTAGAAGCTGTGCTCTCCACAGAGACATGAGGAGTAAGTGCTAGTCGATCACCCTGGACATTATCCACTTTGTAGACTATCAAATAGTTGTAGGTTCCTTCTTGAGTGTTTTTTTAATCATAAATGATTACAGGTAGTAAAACCAAGAAAAGTAGACACAGTGTATGCTGAATGGTTCCTTATCCACCATAGAAAAGAAATAGAAGTGGGGGGGGGGGGGGTGTTGCTTCTGGAAAAATTACAATATAAAGTGCCCAAAAGGAAATCAAATAATTACACGACAAGGCATCAAAGCAAATATTTCCCAATGTGAGTTAAACCCAACTTAAATGAAGCAAAACTTCTAAACACACAAACTGGACAAGTGCTTTGAAGTTCCTCCTTTGGCTTTTTGATCATACTACACATTCTTACCCTTTCTTCCCACTCTTCTTCCGGGATTCTGTGGGTGTAGGAGGGGGAGGTGAAGGTGAATGTTTCCGCTTCCGAGCATTAGCCGCTGCTTTTCTATCTCTTCTCTCTGGACTTCGGACTGGCTAAGATTAAGTAAACAGAAATAAATATCAACAGCTTTGCACACTCCTTAGGTTCTACAAGGTCTGTCCAAAGGTGAGGTTATTCTCAAACAGCAAAACATCCAAACTAGCTCAGAGCAAATGAAAATGCACATCAAGCATTAGGTACTACCGGCAATCAAAAGATTCAGAACAAAAGTGAGGTGATACATAATGAATGGAAGTTATTCTTACTGCACCATATGCTACCAGACAGACAAGCCAAATACTGCACAAAACTTTCCTTGTTCACATTCCATCTTCCCAGATGAAAAAGTATTCTGGGGAAACATGAAATACCATCCACTAAACAGATAAAATACAACTCTGAGCTGAATTATCTTTAAAAACTGGATCCTTATAAAAATTAATTGCATTTTACAAGGAAAAAAAAAGAATGCTAACAAAGTATTATAAAAGATGTTCTAATAACAAATTATTTTAATTTTAAGATTACAACTTCTCACTTAAGACAATTATTTCTATTTGCAAATACATGTAGTTTTAAAACAAAAACACCCACAAAACTATAAAGACAAAACAGCACTAAAAGAAATAAGGATGTTTTCAAGAGAGATCAGAGTGTACACAAACTATGAGGCTGACCATTATAATCTATAAATAAGCAAAAATCTGAACAAGTGAAGGATTTCCTCAGCCTGGTTCACAGTGAATTTATGTAAACAGTGCTGAGATAACAAAAATCCTCAACACTGGGCCAACAGGCAACATCATGGCCGACAGAGAAAAGAATGAGTTTAGTTAGCAATATTATTTACATGGATCCACAATCCACACCCACAACAGCAACAAGCAAAAATAAAAAAGTGTTGTACTGAGAAAAATCTGCAGTCAAGGCTTCCCGCCAACATGCTGCAGAGTAATGCCTAAGTTTAAAAAGTAAGGTGAACCTGTTCTAAGCCATTTCAATTACTTCCTAAGCATCTGAAAGAAGAACTGATGCCTTTGAAGAGTATGGACTATCCCATGGACTTCAAACAAACCAAATCTGTCCTGGAGGAAGTGCAACCAGGAGCTACCTTAAAGGAATATGATGGTGAACCTTCACTTCATACACTTGGGCCATGTTATTAGGAGAGGCCAATCCTAGGAAAAGAATATTGTGCTGGAAAAGGTGGAGTGTCAGAGAAAGCGAGGAAGATTCCAATAAGATGGACTGACACAGTTACTTTAACAATGGGCTCAAGCATACCAGAAATCATGAGCATGGAGTAAGATCTATTGGTAAGATCATGTGTTCAGATGTATTGTTCAAAGGGTCATTATGATTCATAGTCAACCTACAACATGAACAATCCTAATAAGAAAGCAGTAAATCCTGCTATAAAGAGCCAGCGTAACAATTTGGAGATTAGAATAGTGCTAAGAGGTAAATCCATGGAAAAGAATATCATGCTTGGAAAGGTGAAGGATCAGTAAAAGAAAAGAAGATCTTTTAATAAGATGGATGTACAGAGTGACCACAACAACAGATTCATGTACATCAGAGATAGTGATACTGGGAGGGATAGGGCAAAGTTAATATCCATTTTTTATACAGGGTCACTACGGTTCATAGTTGACTTGACAGTATATAACAATGATGTCACAAAAAACTTGCTTTGAAATGTAGTAAAGGAAAATAAAGGGAGCTCTGGTGGCCTAGTGTCAAGAAATCACACTGGAATCTCAAAGGTGCACAGTTTTAATCCACCAGATGCTCTGCTGAAGGAGGGGAAATCTCCTCCTTTGCCAGTTGGATCTGATTCGACAGCATACAGCAAGAAAAGAAAAAGAAAATAAATGTCTGTCAAAGAAGGTTTAAGCAAAAAAAGAAAACTGAGAAGAGTCAAATTCCATAACACAATGAGAGAGATAGGAATATATAGAAAAACAGTTTGAGTAGGAAAAGAACAGAAATAAAAATAGGCATGAAAAAATCTTTACGTTCAAAATTGAGCAGTTCAAAAACACAAAAATTGTCTCAAAAGACTTAAAAAAGAAAACACCAAAGCCTAAAACACAAAAAACAATGAGCAAAAATGCTAAATGTCCCAAACAAAAAGGTCTTGAGCCACAGAGGCCTTTTTCTAATGTAACAAATTCAACTATTAAAATATTCAAACTGTTAAAACACCATATTCTTAAAAAGTCTGGGAGATTTTTTTATATTGTTTTAAGAGTTATACGAATTTAGTGCCTTTTACATATACTCAATAGCCAGTGCACTTTGACATTTATCAGTAACAATAAACTATAGGCCAAGAAAATATAAAACTACTGATATAAATAGGGTGAACCCACATACCTCTTCATTCCTTGTCGAGATTCGCTGCCGAAAACTCACAGGCTTCCTGTTCTCATCCACCTCATAATCCTCTTCATTCATCCATTCATTGAAAACGTCAGTGTCCAAAATCCACTTTGCATGAACCTAAAAAAAAAAAAAAATACCAAAATATTAACAACTACATGGTAAAATTATTCAAGGTTTTCAAAAATCAAAATATTTAAAAGAAAACAAGATTTATAATACAGTTTTCTTCTGGAAACTCATGGACAAGATGAATAGAAGAACTGCTTCACTGTTAAGAGTAATTCCTCCCATTCCTACCCCAGTCAAGAGTGCTAGGAACTCCTGACTACCTTTTATACTAGATCAATTTTTTAATTATTCATGGTATTTTACCAGTACTTATAATGTAACCCAATTACCATTTTTTTCACTGCGAAACATAAATGCACTATTCTAGAAAATAATAAAAGGTCTAATTAAAATTTCCACAAAAATTCAAATTCAGAGATACTCTAATTGCGACATATTTAAAAAATGCCAATGTCACAGAAGACTCAGAAAGGTTGAAGAAATGGTCCATAACAAAGAGATTAAAAATGCTATGTGTCCCCTATTGTAGTGACATCAACTGATTAAAGGCTTGTTCAGTCCAAAAAAACCCCGCTATGTGTCAAAAGAACTATGAGATGTCATCTCACCTCAGTAAGAATAGCAAAATCCAACAGAGGAGCAAACAACAAATACTGGTGCGGTTGGGGAGAAACTGGAACCCTTATTCTCTGTTGATGGGAATGTAAAATGGTGCAACCACTACCGAAGGCAGAATGGTGCTTTCTCAAAAAGTTGGAAATAGAAAAAAACATTTGACCTAGCAATTCCACTACTGGGAATATACCCTAAAGAAACCAGAACTGCCATCCAAGCAGATAAAAGCACACCCATGTTTATTGAGGCTTTGTTCACAATAGAAGCTAGAGAAGCTGTGGTATATTCATACAGTAGAATATTATGCAGCATTAAAAACAATGAACTCATTGTACATCCAAAGCCTTCTCCAACAGGGTAAAAAGGGAAGCCACAGATGAGAAAAAATATTGGGTAATGACATGTCTGACAAGGGACATATATCTAGAATTTATAAAATACTCGAGTACCACAAGAAGATAAAATAATCCAACTGAAACATGGGCACAGGATATGAATAGACACATCATCACAGAAGACATTCAGATGGCAAACACACACATGAAGAAATGTTCAAAATCCCTAGCTCTAAGAGAGATGCAAATCAAAACAATTATGAGATATCATCTCATCCCAGTCAGAATAGCAAAATTCAACAGAACAGCAAGCAATAAATGCTGGCGAGGTTGTGGAAAGACTGGAACCCTTATTCACTGTTGATGGGAGTGTAAAATGGTGCAACCACTGTGGAAGGCAGTATGGCGCTTTCTCAAAAAGTTGCAAATAGAAATACCATTTGACCCAGCAATTCCACTACTGGGAATATACCTAAAAGAGACCATACTGCCACCCAAGCAGATATATGCACACCCATGTTTATTGTGGCTTTATTCACAACAGCAAGAAGTTGGAAACAACCTAAATACCCATCAACAAACGAATGGATAGAGAAACTGTGGTATGTTCACACAATGGACTACTACGCTGCACTGAAAAACAAGGAACTCATGCAGTATTATTCAAAATGGGTGACCCTGCAGGACATTATGCTGAGTGAAGTATCTCAGTCACAAAAGGACAAATAGTGCATAATGCCAGTGTTGTAAAACAGGACTGACATCGGGGTTGGGGGGAGACTGTGAGAGAGGGGATAAATAATGTATACTACATTGAAACAGATGAGGGAGAAGTGTTTAAAAAGGTATATGTGATTAGGTATTATTGTCATGACAGGAGTCCAGAACGCAGGCTGCATAGTGGAGTGCACCTGGGGGTAGGGACTGTAAAACAAAGAAAGAATTTTTCTTTTACTTTTCAAAGAGAAGAGTGAAGTAGGGGGCAGGGAGAAAAGTGCAACAACGAATGACTGGAAACCGTAAGTCTCTGTAAACTTTCATTAACATTAATAATAATAATAAAAAAAACAATGAACTCATGAAATATTATACAAAATGGGTGACTCTGGAGAATATTATGCTGAGTGAAGTACCTCAGTCACAGAAGGACCAATACTGCATAATGACACTGTTATAAAACAGTACTGACATGAGGGTTGGGGGAAAACTTTAAAAAAAAGGAGATAAATAATGAAACACAAGGGAGAGAACTGTATAAAAGGAATATATGAATAGTTATTATTGGCACGACCAGAGTCCAGAATAGGAGCTGCATAGTAAAGTGAACTGGGGGGGAGGGGGGGGAATGATGGCACACACAACTGTAGAACAATAAAAAAAACTTCTTTTCCAAAGAGAAAAGCGAACTGGGAGGGGAGGACAGGGAGGAAAGGAAAATGTGGGACAATGAATGAATGGAAATCCAAGTTCTCTATAAACTTATGTTAAAATCTCAATTAAAAAACCGCTATGAGTGGTACAACAATGAATGAACGAAAATCTAACTTCTCTGTAAATGTTAATGAAAATAAAGTTTTATTGAAAATAAGTAAGCAAGTAAATAAAGCTATGTGTGAGGGTAGGAAAGATGGGGGAAATGACCATAAAATATCTTGCCAAGACAACTAGTAAAACTTGAATGGGTTTTATACTTAAATAGTGAGCTCTAGGGCTCACAACCTAAAGACAGGCAGTTCCAATCCACCAGTTGCACCAAAGGACAAAGAATTATAATCTCCTGTGCGATTTATAGCCTCTAAAAATTTGCTCAAACCATGTAGTGTTCCCTTGCTTTGTTTAAACCAGTGATTCCTAGTCTATATATAGGTTTCACATAAGCACAACTAAGTGTTCTAGGATTCCCATTCTTCCTCAATGTTAGGTGCTAGTTACAATCCACAAAAAATGCTTTTGCAAAGTACCATTATAATGAAAAACATAAAAAATAACTTTATTCAGTCTTACTAACATCAGTTACATCTACCTCCACCACTCCCTTTTAATATTTTTTCCCTGAACTATCTCAAAATCAGAGTAACTCAGTACTGAAGTCTCTCCAAACTGTTATAGTTTAGACCTAGAACATCTTCAAGGTTGCAATGTCTTTCAAATGGATAAGAAAGAGAAAACATCAATCTGCATCTATTTAAATATTGTTGCAAAGAAGAGCTATTAGGTTTTAATCAAGAAAGGGATGATTTACCTTCCATGGCTTTTCTGGAATTGGTGGATCCTCGATTTCAGCATCTACATCACTATTGTGGATCCATGTATCATAGCTGTAATTTAAAAAGAAAAGAAAATAAATTATAACTCAGATCTGATACATTTAAGACTATCAAATAAGAAAGATATCTTTTCAGGCACTGGCTGAAAATCGCCTGTGACTTCATCCATAGCCACTGGTGAGAGTCAGCGCCCAGAGCCATCAGGGGCTTTAAGCTCG